TGTTAGTTTTAACGGTATATGCTATTATTTAACGGAATATTCCCTAACACCATTAGGGTTACCGTCAGTGTGCCTGGCAGGTGACCGCCCGTGGGCTGCGCGTCTGGCCATGCCTTGGCCGACGCGTGGGTGGTTGGAAAATTTTTCTAAAAATATGGGGATGTTCGTGAGGTTGTGTAGATCATGTTGGTATATTCAAACATCTCATTTGAGCAATATATGAGAAGTTATTAACTAGTTTTTTCTATGTGCTTTAAATAACATTTATTCAGTTATTTCGCATATATGTGAGACCTATCCTGAGGACAAGCGCAATCAAGGGCGGCTCGGGGGCTACGACCCTTCGACATACCAGTGATTGGACTTTTGGTTTTAAGTATATATGTATATGTTTGGTATCTTTCCCAAAAAATGCATTTAAATGAGTTATGATTTAAATTGACATGCCAAATGTTTTACATTTAGAATATGCATATGATGTTTGCATAATATATATATATATATAATTGTGGTGTTGTGGACGCTCAGGTAAGCCTCAGGTGAGTTTATGATTGTGAATGTGAATAACGGTTGTGATTAATTAAGAAACATTGAGCTCATAAACCTGCACCCCGATGTTAGTGATTTAGCCAGAGATATGGCACATGCCTGTATATAATGTCACCTCCCGCACCATATGTTCACATTGGATCCAATTTAGGTGCACAGTCTTGTCGTACAGACCATCATAGATGGTTCCGACTCGTAGGTGACCAGTGATTTTTCGCACAGTTATCATGAGAGCGTAGTATTGAGCATAACTATATTACACCCAGTCTTGTCGTACATACCATCATAGGTGGTTTCGACTCGTAGGTGACTAGTGATTTATCGCACAACTATCATGAGAGCATAGCATTGAACATAACTATATTATACCCAGTCTTGTCGTACAAACCTTTACAGTGGTTCTGACTCGTGTGCAGTGTAGTACCGTATAGATCACTTGCAGTGACTCCGTCTAGATTGACTAATGAGCTATGAATTCAGCCGTACAGACTTCTGCAGGGGTTTCGACTAATATGTTCTTTTTCCATGAATTTATTTTCATCTGAGTTACTTATTCTGTTTTATATTTTGGCATGACATACTTATGAATATGGATATGTGAAGCATGATTTGAATATATTTATTTATTTATATTCCATTTCTGGGAAGGTTATACATGTTTTACGGCGAGGAGTTAGAGCTTTTGATAAAATGAAATGGTCTTGAAAAACTTTGTTTTTGCCCACTCACACTTTCTGTTTTGCGCCCCTCCAGGTTTTAGATAAGTTTGTTCGTTGGTGGCTCATGAGGATCGATTGGAGGTTCTGACAGACTATCACAAATGCAGGACATCTCCGGGTGTCGTTTATCTAATACTTGTTTTCTGGACTGAACTTAGGCTACTTACGCTCTGATTGTGTATTCACACATACTCTAGCACTTGTCTTAACTAGTAATCTTATGAGTTGGTTTTCATTTATTCGTATTCTCTATTATCATTATTGCTTCTGCATTGTGCACATGGCTACGTCACCCTCACGTGACAGCCAGCATGCCTCGATCTCGGTCGAGGTGTGTCATGTCAAGCACCCAAAATTATTTTCTTAATTTTTAAAAGTTAAGAAGTAAAATAAGTGTTTTTGACCCAATTATATTCAAGCATTATTATTATTATTTCTTGCAATTATATTCAGTATTCAGTGTACCTAAGAGGTCGCACTTGGTGCGATGGCAAGTGCCTTCGCCCATGAGCGGTAGGTCTCGGGTTTGAGACTTGGGAACAGCCTCTCCATAAATGGGGGTAAGGCTAGCCGACATTCACCTCTCTCAGACCCTGCGTAAAGCGGGAGCCTTGTGCACTGGGTACGACCTTTTTTTTTTAGTGTACCTAAATGCTACTCATAATGAGTGTTTAAAATATTGATATAAGTAGAAATGTCGATATGTAAATTGATGGGAACATAGAGTGGATATATCGATATACGAGTTTTCTTCGACGGAAATTATGAAAATTTGCAATGGAATGTGTATATTAACTTAATCAGATTTAGTTGAAATTAAAGAAAAATTTCTCAAAAAAATAAAAATAAAAAAAATCAAAAGTGCAAAATCTGTAATGGATTCCAGCAAATTTTTTGTAATGAATCGGTAAATATCATTAATATTCATTAATTTTTCTATATCTCACCGATATAGGGTGAAGTTTGCATTTTGTGGATATTTTAAACACTGCTCATAATTTGTTAGGAAAAGTTTGCTAATGGAGTTGCGTCATGGATTAATTTCCCTTCAATTATCATTAGTTTCTTTCAGCCGTCCTTTTTACAAATGGTTTTATTCGTTGGGTTATGTAATTCTTATGTTGAATTAGACCACAAAACCCATCAGAATCAACACTTTAACTCGATGATTTTAGGGTTTGGTTGCATGAAAGTCATTGTATTCGAATCTTCTATGGTGCGTTGATAACTAATGTGAAAGTGAGTGCTTCACACAATTAATTATAATTGTTTTGAGATTTGAAATGACTATGCAAGTCTTTCTGTTCTCCAGAAGAGTACGTTGTTGTGTCGAAAACACTAGCTGATCTTTTTTTTCTTTAAAAAAATAAATAAATGAACAAAGGTGCGTAGAAAAATTTGACTTTAAACATGCAATTAACCACAATGTAGAAGAATTAATCAAACTACAACGCAAGACCAAGTTCTTTTTAAGTATCAAAGTCGTTTAAAATTACTTTTAAAGTGATTGAAAATTCTTTTAGAGAAATATTTTTGAGTACTAAAAACACGAAACAAATAACTAGTGCATGTTTTTTTAGGATTCATTTATATTTTTGCTAAGAATTGCTTTAAAAAGTACTTTCACAAAAAACGTTTCCAATCATTTTAAAAACACTTATAAACGAACTTTTACTTTGAAGAGAGAATATATGTGTTCCTAAGGCTGCAAGAAATGAATCAAATGGTAGAGAGAAGGGTCGTTCGAATTATCGTGTGAAGCACATGAAATTATGCATGCAGCTGCTTAATTCGTGGTTCACACGGTTTTATGAAACCCAAGACCTAACCTTTTGCCAGCTAATCCTCCCTGCCTATTGAGTCTTGACCAAACCCAAAAAAAAAAAAAAAAAAAAAAAAAAAAAAAAAAAAAAAAAAAAAAAAAAAAAAAAGAGAAAAAAGAAAAAGAAAAAGGATACGTGCTCTTTTTGAATGAATGTCGACCAGCTCATTAGACAACACATGGACCACCTCTAAAGTCAATGTTATCAACTGCTACAATTGTTGGTAAATACGGATTTGAATCCTCTCCTGAGCCCAAGGAGAAGATCCTCATGATCAAGAAGTGTGGGTTGTTAGATTTTCATCCAACGGTTATAATTATTATAACTTTAAAAAAATCATCATGTTTATAGCCGTTGGATTTTCATCCAACAGTCCACACTCTTTGATCGGAGGATCATCTCCTTGGGCTTAGGAGAGGATCCAAATCCGGTAAATACCATATTAGCCTCTTAACATGCACATACCTAAGTGTTAAAATAATAGGAAAACTGATAAAAAAAAGTTTAAAAGTTTTGAGTTTTAACGATAAGAACAAAATAAATGGTAAAGTAAATAGTATCAGGATTGACTTTTTAATATAAAAATGTGATTTTTCGTTAAAATGAATAATACCGAAAACTTTTCGTTAAAGTTCATTAGAATAATTGGACAGAGTTAGAGAACTGTCGTACACTTATACACGTATGTCCTATATATAGAATCATAGATAGGGCGGGTGAGAAGGGAAAAACTAGTCACACACTCGTATGGATGTCCCACAGAGGCAGAACCAAAAAGAGCGCGGAAAACTAGTACATGATTGAAATTTATTGAGTTAGTTTGCGTATAATTCTCTCTATATTATTTCAATTTTGCATTTAATTGGTTACGAATATGATGTTGAAATTGGTCGACGAAAAAGAATGTACCTATATTTGGTGTCGGGTTTGTTCATCATGTCATTCTCAATTACAATGGAGATAAAATCCTCCTTGACGGGATTTTAAATAATTAATGCATATAGTCATTTCAAATCTATTTGACGAGAGATTTTTCAATGTATCCGGAATACGGGACGGATCATCACATGTCATAACATAATTGGAGAAAAATTTGTTTTTCAAGTAACCATCCAATTGTTTAACGATATGTTGCATTTCGCCCTGTATTCTAAGTACTCTGAAAAATCTCTCATATTTTACAACGCAGACAGTTTTTTAAAATACATTAAATCTAGTACTAGTTAGTTTTCTTAAGAAAATTTAAAATACATTTAGTCTTGTGGAATCCAAATCTTGCTTTTATAGTTCCTCAATCCAAATGGAATACATATTCGGTTAGTGTCAAATAAGGTATTCCACTTATATAAACATAATCTTATGGATTATGAGTATCTTAAGTCAATACTGTTTTATTGGGTAATAACTTTCATTTGTACGTAACCCAATTAAATAGAAGATATGCAAATGAATGAACAGACGGTAAAACATTGTTAATATTTCGGTTTTTGGTCAATAGAACATCAATATTTTCTTCTTTCGACCAACAATTCTCATTCACAAAATTTTAAAATCAGAATCTTCTCTAACAAAATCGAAACGGAGTGCCAAGTCGCCTAACTATACTTATATGTATGTCCTTCATAGTCAATCATCAACTTAATTTTTTAAGGAAAACTAATGAAATGGCTTGAAAATTTTGACTTTTAACGATAAAGACGAAATAAATGTTGAAGTGAATAGTACTATGATTGATTTTTTAGTGTAAAAATGTGATTTTTCGTTAAAAGTAAACAATACCGAAATATTTTCGTTAAAATTCCTAATTTTTTATCCAAGAAGATAAATAAAATGTGTAGTTTCTGAGCAACCTCCATGGACGCCTGTCTTCTACCTCACGCCATATGTTATTACAAAATACATTACAATATTCATATTCCCCTCAGAAAATCAAATCAATCCCCCGAAAAGGGTCCACCTCAAATCCCAATAATTTCGGTCGCCCCAAGTCTTCTTCCTGCCAAAAAAATCCCTTTAACTAATCAACGTCGACAGACTAATCGCATAATCCTCCACCATCTCCTCCACCAGCAGCCTTACCCATTTGACACCTCATCCACCACCACCAGCCGCCCTTATAGACTCTCTCTCTCTCTCTCTCTCTCTAAAACCTCCCCCGAAAGTTCCCAAATTCCATAATACCCACTTGTCGGCGGTAGCAGATCTACAAAACCCACTAATTATTCTCCACCCCCTCCCCCCGCTTTTTTGGACTTTTTTCACACTGTCCGTTTTTAGCAATCATGGACTCGTCAGAGCAGCGCCGCAAGCGGAAGCGCATGGGGCGGTCCTACTTACAGGCGAAGCAGTACTTGTCACTGAGACGACCCTTGGTGCTCTGCTTCTCGTTCTTTATCTTCCTTCTGTTCGTATCCTCCGGCCGCTTCCGCCCGGCGTCGTTTCGGCCAGTCCTAACCGCCTCCTCCACCACCCTCTCCCTCCTCTCCTCTACCGCCAGCAACTCGATACTCGAGTCCTTCGCTGCCCACAGTAAGCACAGCAAAGAGTCGCCGCCGTCGTTTCGAGTCCAAGATCGAATCTTGTTTCCCGATCACGTGCTTCTCATTGTGCCCAATCGGTTCCGCCAAAACGACGAGTTGGAGTGCGTTTACCACAAGCGTTTCAACGGTTCGTATGACGACATTCTTGAAGATAAAGAAAAGAATCAGCACCTGGATTTTGCGGTTCGACCGGTTTTATCCACCGACAGCTACGATGACTTCCGGTCCATCGTCCGGTGTCCGCTGCCGCCGCTCAATTTCTCCACAGCCGTTGATTTGCGACGACGCGGCAGTTATGATACGACTGCTGCGACAAACGGCACGGCTTCTCCATGGAACAAGGTGGTTTATGAGGCGGTTATTGACGGAGACACGGCGGTTGTGTTCGTTAAGGGGCTGAACCTCCGACCGCACAAGAATTCGGATCCAACCCGGCTCAGTTGCCACTTCGGATTGGGGAATTGGGACAAAGACAAAGAACAAAGCGGCTTTGTGCTCACCACCGAAGCCGTCACCGCCGCTCAGGAAGTCGTCCGGTGCCTCCTCCCCCGCACTATCCGTAACCATCCGGATAAGGCCCACGGAATCCGGGTCACTATCGGATACAACACCGGCCACCCCAGAGCTCCAGTCCACGTCACTCTGCCTTCTGTGGCCACAATTCACAATTCCAAATCCCATCCAGTCCAATCCAATCCGAAGAAGCATGAGCTTTGTGTGTGCACAATGCTGTGGAACCAAGCACCGGCGATCAAAGAGTGGATTATGTACCACTCGTGGCTCGGCGTCGAGCGGTGGTTCATCTACGACAACAACAGCGACGACGGGATCGACGACGTCGTTCGAGAGCTCGATTCACAGGACTACAATGTCAGCAGGCAGAGCTGGCCGTGGATCAAAACCCAAGAAGCAGGCTTTTCCCACTGCGCTTTGAGAGCAAAAGACGAATGCAATTGGGTCGGATTCTTTGACGTGGATGAGTTCTTTTACTTCCCGCTCGCTTTCCACCGTGGCGGAGGAGATTACGGTGTTCCGGGGGAGAATTCGCTGCGAAAACTAGTTTCAAATTTTTCAAATTCAGCCACCATTGCGGAGATCAGAACTGATTGCCACAGCTTCGGCCCGTCCGGGCTGAGCTCTCAACCCCCGCAGGGAGTCACTATCGGGTACACATGCCGGCTGCAGAGCCCGGAGCGGCACAAGTCGATCGTGCGGACGGAGCTGCTCGACGTGACTCTGCTCAATGTGGTGCACCATTTCCGGCTGAGAGAGGGGTACAGGTACCTCAGTGTTCCAGAGGGAATCGCGGTGATCAACCACTACAAGTACCAGGTGTGGGAGACTTTCAGGGCAAAGTTTTTCAGGCGGGTGGCGACGTACGTGGTGGATTGGCAGGAGGATCAGAATCAGGGGTCGAAAGATAGGGCCCCGGGGCTGGGGACGGAGGCGGTTGAGCCGCCCAATTGGCGGCTGAGGTTCTGTGAGGTGTGGGACACCGGGTTGAAGGACTTTGTTTTGGGGTACTTTGCTGATCCTGTAACTAGGTTGCTGCCATGGGAGAAGAAGTCTCTTACTTCTGCAGAGTAAATCACACAGAGCTGCCATTTGTTTCCATTCTTTTTTTTACACGTTTTACACACGAATCGAATTAATTACAGGATTCTCAGAGTGTAAATTTTGTGACAATATCAAATGAATTTTTCCTTTGCTTGTATACAAATTCATTTTTCCCAATCAAATAAAATGGACTACGGATTTTTTCCTCTCCTGTGTGTCCTTTTATTGTTTGTTTTCATGTCATTTAAAGGAAAAGTAATCGCAGGGAACATTAAATTCCAAGTGTAAATCAAATGGAAAAGGTGAGAAAAAACCCCGTCTGTCTCTCTTACGGATTGGTGTGGAGTTGTAGATGCAGCAGTTGACAAAAGCAAATAATGGTTTATGTTTCAAAAGCAAATAAAGGGGTGCGTTTCAAAATTTAATTTAAACCACTAATTGAATTCAACAGCTGCAACAACTATAGCTCCGCATCAATCCTCAAGAGAGACAGACGGGGATTTGAATTAGAGTTATCCAAATGAATTTGGAAATGTTTTAGCAGGCAAATTGGAGGCAAAACCACAACGCAAGTACAACTCAGCTAACTGAACATTCTTACCATATAAATCGAGCAAAATTACGTGCATTAGTCATAAAAGTGCGGTTTTGAGTTTAGAATTAGATACAGCTCTGAAGAGTCCGCTTTGTACAAATTCCCAGCAAGCAGCTCTGAAGAATCATCTGTACGATAACCTCTGTACGATAAGCTGTTGCTTGAGGAACCTAAACATGAAAATAAACATCTTGTAATTCAGAGAGAGAGAGACGTCGCGCGGTTGGGCATGAGCAGTTTGTGCTGAAATTATGGAGTCTTGCTTGCTTCTCTTTGAGAAAGCCTCTGACAAACTTTGTGGCCATATATTGGGTAATAATTTCAAAAATTATTATAAGCTATGCGATGCTGTTAAAATAAAAATGAGAAATTACCTGGCTAAAGGCTACAGCCGTTGCATAAGGCGATACGATCATTAAGCCTCACAGTTTAATTACTTCAAAACTGGATCTTGTACAGCCAACGGGAGGTTATCCACGTATTTTGATAGCGTGGAATCGAGCTTCTCTCCAATTAATGAAATCCAAGCCTGTTACCATTTCAACTGTTATTGCAATAACTTGATAAATATAAACAAACGGAGCCTAATTGATTGATTATGCCAACGAGTTTGATCAACCGGTCACACGTTATATATTTTTCTTTCTGCAGAATGCATGTTTGCTGTTATACACTATGATATAGATAAAAGAGGAAAACTTCAGGAACATTATCTTTTATGCAATAGGCCCTTTGTCAAACAGTGTTACCACCAATCGACAAATTCAAAATTTTCAAAGTAAAAATGGGCACACACCTGATCAGACGATGTGAATCCTCGAACTGTGTCGCCACCAATTACTGCAATCCCCTTGTCTCCAAGTGGCTGCAATATTACTGCCTGAAAAAGTTGGAAATCGTGTTTCGCAATCCTTAAAATGCAGATATACGCGGTGATTCTAAACGCACAGAATAGTAGAATCTAAGAATAATGTATATAAAACAACAGACGGAACTAAACCTGCGTATTTGAAGGCAGAAATGGTAGCTCGGATTTCCCAGGGTAAAGATATAGGTTGGCCAAATAGCTCTCTGAAGAAAACAGAATGGCAGTCTTGTTTAGATTGTGAGTTGTGACATGGAAAAAAGTCGAAGAACTTAGACAGATAACATGCAGTCGTTGGCAGGTACTTACGAACTCCTGATTTCATAACCCCTCGATAGAGTGATCCTTGCATCAGTTTATCAGCATCCACATCCACAGCCTTTCCATCACCATTGGAAGATTCAGCTGCAAAACCAATCTGAAGGATACATCTGCCATCATAAACTATAACTAGAGACCGGCAGCATGTCACGCTTGAGAGAGACTCCCATGCCCTGAAAATAAGTAACGAAAAACAACAATTAACCAGCCATACTCAGATTAGCAAAGTGCTTAGTTCTTAATCCGCCAATCGCAACATATAACCTACATTCCCCCTCTCTTACTTAACATCAAGGTTTTGGTTTCAGCTTTATAAAACAGAATTTCGCGCTACGAATTGAAAACACATGAAACTGCGGACGATGACGAAAAGGGTATCAACATTGCTATGCCAATGCATTACCACAACAACTCAGAAAGTAGAGTCTTGGGAAGATTCGGATGCATCTGCTCGCATTCGACCCCTTCCGGACTCACCTGAAATTAAACCCTAAACATATTAGCACTAATTCATTTGAAAAAATGGGATCAATCAGCTAATTTTCTGACCTTAGATATAGATTTTGGCCTGATCGACAGCCACACCAAACCTGCTAGTATGTTGGTCACGGCCAATCCCAACGTCAATAAATCAGCTCTGGACTGTGAACTACAAATTAAACATAATTTCACATGATTAATTAACCACTAATGAAGCTTCAAAATTCTGAAAATTGCATTGAAGTAGCAGTGGTTGTAATTAAGCAGATAGAAATGTGTTTGCGTTGCTTACCTGCTGGCGTCAGCGACGAGAGCGATGTCCGAAACGGTGCGGTTGAAGAGGACGGCCAGGAGGGAGGCGCCGCCCGCGTATATCGGCAAGCTCCGAGCGGCGTCGTCGTTGTTGGACACCCAATCGGCGACCCAATTTCTCTTGGGCTTTGGGCCTCTGTAGCGAGTGTCTGAATTCGAAGCCCTGATGCTGCGCGGGAAAGCGGGGACGAGACGACGTCGGAAAGGGCGTTTTGGAGTCCATGGAATTGGACTGCGGAGAAGGCTTCCCGCTTCCATCGAAATCTGTGGAATAGGTGACGTGGCGATGATATTTGATATTTTGCTTTGGATTGGAAACGGCCTGTCGTTTAGTTGAATTCGTTGCATTGTACCTTTTTAGGCATGAAGGACATAGATTATAGATATGTGACTTTTGTTGGCTTTAGGACAATCTTTGTGGACTTTGACTATAACTTTGGGTTTTAACTAGGCCCATAATTGAACCCATTTTTTCGTCACTAGCCCATAATTCCAACTTGGAAACATTCTCCCCGTTTGGTATAAAGGACTGGATTAGAATAATATATCTCAAAATTTAAGGCGCATCAACGATAGAAAATAATGATTTTTCATTTTGAGGAGATTAATAGAGGGTTAGACATTAAAGAATTTCTCCTTTCTAGTCCTATTATTTTGAGGAGAATTGAAATGAACTGATTTTCTTCTTGAGTAATTCTTCTTCTACCTCTAATTTGGTCACAAATGTTAATTTCTTCTTTCTCCGTACCTTGAAAATAGTGTTTTGTTCATTCTACTCCACCAAAGATGCCATTAGTTGTTGCTATTTTTACCATACCAGGCGATAGAAGATGTCTTGGAACATAGTTACAAATATATTTCTTAATTATTTTGTTTTTTGTTTTTAATTTTGAGATAAAGGGAAAGTTGGGAGAATAACAAATGAAGAAGGTAGTGGGAGGGAGGGAGATGAAGAAACGAATAATGAATGATTACAGAACGTTAAAAATAAAACTAATATAAAATAGTTTTCTGTTTTTTGTTTGTGGTTTTCATTTTGTATATATTTCTTCTACATCTCTCTATCACATTCCGCTTCACCCTTCTCCAACCACGTTTTCCTCATATATTTTTTCCTATTTTAAACACAAAAACTAAATATTAAAATATTAAAAATTGAAATAGTTATCAAACCGTCCAAAATATCATCGCTCTTCGAATCAATGCACGATTCCCTAGTTGTTATCTTGCAGCTTTGGGTGTATATATATTGATGGGCGTACATCGTCATATTAATATATCCTCATGCACATGCAAAACTATGAGAGCCGTAGACTCCCCCTCGGAGTGGATCAACACGTTTATGGTCAAACTTCAATATCTAAAAGGTCGGCCCTCTTGAAATCTGGGGACATAACTGGACAGAAGACTTGAAAAGAGTTTTGGTCTTATAACTCCTTTTCTACGTTACGTTATTTTCATACTTTGTAGGGCCTACGTCCGGCATGATGTTGCAGACTTGCTCGGCACCAAGTATCAAACCATGGCCATCCGTACACTGGTATTCCTCTTGTTTTTCTGCTAATTAAGCTATCTGAACTGCACAACTATTTCTTGAAATGAACGGCAACGAATCCAATGGTAATGCATGTAGTTAATTAGCAGTTGATTAAGGAAGTTTAACTCTAAATTAGCTTGACAGTATTAGTTTGTATGGTTAGGGTTTCCTTATTGTTAAGAAATTAAACTAGTTTAGACAACACATGCGTCATTGCCAATTAATTTTATAGAGCTTTCTGTAATTTGTGATGGATATTGATCATATTAATTTTTTGTAATCATGTTCATGTTGTACAAAGATTTTGTTTAGGTTAGTTGCTCATGAGATTTTTAATTTTGACGAGGTGGTAAGAAATTCTCGCACGTGTAAAGCTAAGCAATAATAAATTTTCACACGCACATAAGCAATTCACCAAAATAGTTGCTCGAATTTAGCTTTCATTTGCCAAAATTTTTCACACGGACATAAGCGATCAACAAGAGAATATGGTTTAGTTTAACCTTCACTTTCAATTGCAAATTACATGGAAAAACAAGTTACAAAGAAATAAAAAAGATGTTTTGACCAATAATCCAATCTAATTTGTTAGGTTGAAGGCATCGATCGCTGCGGTTGATCTATGGTGGCTTTAGAAAAACATTTTATCCGATGCTGTTGTTAGCCAATCTCAAGACATGTTGTCCCATCAAATATGATACCAAACACCAATCAGTGGATTGAATGGCCAATCAAAGTCAGAAAAACTTATCCAAACGTAGAGAAAATTTTAATTATGATAGGAATACAAATAGTGCACTACGTGTTTTAATAAGAATGGTGAGAAATTTTATTTTTTAAGTTATTAATTTTTTAGCACATATATCACACCCTATTTGTTTAATGACATGTACTACCCCGTGTATCAATAACACTGAAAAATCTCTCCTAGGATATGTAATATCAGATGCTCCTTGTCTTCGTTTGATTAGGACCATTGCTCACCCTACAAGCTACACCAGTACAATTCTGTGCCTTATTGCCTGTTTATTTATTTGCACATAGTACTAAATTTAATGATTTTTTTTTATTTGTGGGTGAGCGTTTTTACATTATGGCGAGTTCCAACTAATTCTCGCATTTTTTTAGTATAAATATATCGTTGTAAAAAAAAATAATAATAAATTATTAACTATGAACTAAAATTATGGAAATAAATAAAAGTTTAAGTTATCATTAGCTATTTTTTATTCGAGTGGTATAATTCTAAATTACGAATAGGAAATTCAAACTTAGATGAAGAGCAATTATTAAGTTGAGGTCTGCAACGGAGCAATTATTATTAGCTAGTTGATTTAGATTTAGGAGGGCTAACTCCGAGAGTCATGGAGATATTGTAGCTGCCTGTTTCTTGCTTAGGGTTTTGATATTTTAATTCTATCACGTGATATACGTGAGAACAGGGTCTATCATCATGTGAACTTATTTTATGTCTGCGTAGTGCAGTCAACAGATTGGACGGTAGGAGATCTCTTTAAATAATAGTCACCATAATTATTTATCTTCGTTCTTCTGTTTTTTCAATTACTTTGGTTTTTAATTGTGTACTTCTCTCCTCGTATTTGTTTAGATAACATGATCAGTAATACAGACTTTTATTTAACTATTGAGGCTAATTTAAGAGCCTTTTTTTATAGTTAAAACTGTTGGTTCAAATTTCTGTGCAATACGAGAGAAAAGCTTGATTATATATATGCATGTATTATGCTAAGGTTGAGTCCCTTTTTCTGTTCATATTGTAAACCATGTAAAAAAGAATTAATCAACTCAACTATTATATACAATTTTTTTTAACAAACGATAACGTTAGTGATTTAAATTGTTAAATATTTGATGATCGATGAGAATCGAGCATGCACTATGATGCACAAATATTATATCCAATCGTGATATGCATGTTTTTATTGATTTTTAGTTTGGGGAAACTGAATAATCAAAATAGGAAGCTAGGAACAAAAGTCACAATATGTAACTAACAGTTAGAGAAACTGGGTGTTGAATGAAAGTTGCACTTGCAGCCGCCGCTGCACTGCCTTAACTCCACGTACACATCGAGTCACTGCATGTGACTGCAGAAAAATTGCAGAAGAAAACAAGATGCAGATGGAACACAAAACACATGCACCTAATGAAAAGGTTCAACGTAGATAAAAGGATAAAACGAATCAAATGCTTTGAAAAGCAGCGCAACACATTGGGGACACGTGCTTCCAAAGAGACAGAGCACATATAAAATGACATGCCCTCTTCTGCTTTGTAAAACCGCCTAATCAGCTCACACTCTCAACCTCCTATGAATTCGTCACACCGACAAGTGATATTATTAATCCGTGCCACCGAAATACTACTTGATATGCAACCTAGTTAAGTTACGATATCTAATGAACATATATAGATACGGTAATATAGTAATATCACGTGAAAATGTTACACTACGACTGAAAAACTTCTTCATGTTGTGCAAACTATTACTTACGTGGCCTCACCTGGTTGGGTATGAGAGCTTATGGTGGACAAACTTTTGAGTCTCACTCACCAATAGAAAAGCAGGACAAAAAGAGGGAGAAAGTGATGGACAAAATAGGAAATCGAAAGCAAAAGGGCATCCGTCCACCACCACCAAAGAGGTGCGTAGCCACATACGAAGGTCGAGGTTAAATAGAGAAGTTTAGTCGTGGAAGGTGATGAGTGGGGTCCAGGCTTTACTTATCATCAACAACCACATCCCACCCCACCACCGTCACCATGGTCCATGACTGATATCCAACGAACGATCTGAATAACGCGAAGGCATTGAGACAACGATGTCTTTGTCAAAGAGCCATCGAATATGCCCAGTCGACGGTGCACAAATCACTTTGCGCCTCCACCAACGCTTTTTACCATTAACAATAATTTTATCTTGAATTATTTTATGCAAATATTTGTCTACATATATGGTCTTCATTAACAATAATACCTATTGTAGCTACGATAATATAAAATTATAGCACATATTAATTAACAAGACAACTAAAATATATGTAATGAGAACACATAGGATTTCTTGGATGATATTTAAATGGATACAACTTGAACTTATGAACGACTTTATGACTGACATCAGTTTTCTTACATAATATATAATTTTATTTCTATTCTAAAAAAAATGTAAAGTCTAATATGACACTAATTGTGAACATATATAACAGGTTAGATTGTTTAACAGATAATTAGTAATTTTGTAATTTTTATTTTTATTTTAAAAGAAGTTTCAATTCGAATTCCTGTTACTGTTAACAAAAAATACAATATATAAAGTGGAGAATTAACATATGTCCGATTTTACTTCAATACTCTAGCGGTGCATAGTAAAATTTCCTGGAGTTCCACAAGAGAATTTTTAGTATGTCTGGAACAAGGGGTGTTACATTACGTATTACAATACAAGTGGTAAGATATTTATGTTAAAAAGTTGAACAACTTATATAATAAAACATGATGTACCACCAGTGTTACGAGCATAATAAAAAAAATGATAAATTAGGTTCATATCATTCTTTTTGTTACTTCATTGATTAAAATCCTATTCATTTTTAATTTTTTATTAAGGTCTTTGGGTATTAATAACATCATTAATTATTTGAATAATAAAATATTTTTATTTTTAAATATATTCCTTTAGTGTTAAAAATGTTACAATTAGTATATTTATATTTATGACTAAATTTTTTATCATGTATTTTTAATTTTAGTTTGTACCTATTTTTAATTTGCAAATATTTGTTAATTTGTACCAATTTTCTTTTCATTTTTAATTTGTACCCATATATTAGTTTTTTTGTTTGTGCCCATATTTTTTAAAGTTTTATTTGTGTTTGTACCCATGTGTATACCGTCACGTGACATTGTATATTTAATCAATAATAGAAAAATTACATATGGTATATTTATGTTTTATGCCTAAAATTTTGTATCATATATTTATATTTTTATTTGTATCCACTTTTAATTTGCAACATTTTTTTAAAATTTGCAGTATTTTCTTTTTAGTTTTATTTTGTACCCATGTATTAATTTCTTTTAGGGCCTGTATTTTTTTTAAATTCATTTATACTCATAATTTTTTAATCTTTTATATGTACCCTAATTTATTTATAATGTACCCATTCTTCTTTATTAATGTACATATGTGAAATGTACCAATTTTTTTAACACTATGAATACATTATTTTGCCATTTATTATTTCTTATTTTTACATAGTTTTTATCCATTTATTCAATCAAAATGTTTTAATTCTTTTATTGTAACATTTTCTAATAGTATTATAATGAGGAATTTTAAATTTATAGGATTATAAATCTCATAAAATATCAAACAATTAATGTCAAAACTATACAAATATAAATATTAATAGTAATATAATGAGGTGTACAAAGTCAAGGGACTTTGATCAAACTTTGAATATCATTAAGGTTTTAATCAAATAATGTTAAGAATTAAGGATCGCGTCCAAAGTATCCCTAAAATGAAATCTCTTAGTTCCCTCTCCATGTTCGTACACAGAAACATTAAAATATACGCAAAACGCGGGGTTATTGTTTAGAGCTGCAACTCCCTATATACGAACCACAGCAGCCCTCATTTTTCTCTTTCATTACACAAACCAATTTCCTGTTCGCAGATTATTACCTTTTTCTTCCTTTCTTTCTTGCCTGCCTTATTGAAACACCGCCAACAACAAACGTGTGAGTCGTGAGAGAAGATCATGTCTCGCACGTGCTCTCAGTGTGGGAACAACGGCCACAACTCCCGCACATGCTCGGATGTCAGCGGCGGAGGCTGTGGTGGCCCGATCGCCGAAAACGGCATCATGCTTTTCGGTGTTAGAGTCACGGAGGGAAACGCGTTCAGGAAGAGCGTCAGCATGAACAACTTGTCCCAGTATGAGCGGCCTCAGCAGGCCGACACAAACGCCGAAGAGGGTTACGCTTCCGACGAGGTCGTCCACGCCTCTGGACACCGCCGCGAGCGCAGGAGAGGTATGTAGTACTACTACTAGTGGACTTATTTTTTGAATTTTTTTATTAGAGAGAGAAATCGAAGTTGAAATCTCATGTGCAAGCGTCTTGCTGATCTAATCTGGAGTTTAATTATCTTAATTTTTTCATTTATTTTGAATTAATTATTTTTACTTGACTAATTGTTGGATTGGTTGGTTTTTGATATGGGAAGGTGTTGCGTGGACGGAGGAGGAGCACAAGCTGTTCTTGGTGGGTTTACAGATGGTAGGGAGAGGAGATTGGAGGGGGATATCTAGGAACTTCGTGAAGACTCGTACGCCGACTCAGGTGGCGAGTCATGCTCAAAAGTACTTCCTCCGGCGCAACAACCATAACCGACGACGCCGCAGATCTAGTCTCTTCGACATCACCACCGATACCCCCGTATGTACTATTAATATTATAATCGTAGTTAATAGTAATTTAGCATTTTGAATTACCTTAATCTTAGTTCATGCCTATTAGTTATTTCCATGAGTTTGATTTGTCTTTTGTACTTTTAAAAGAAAATTTTATGTTGTCAGATTTTGAATCTAAAATAAATTTTTGCATTAATGTAGGGTTTAGATTTATAGCTTGACAACATAATTAAAATCAACTTGACATTGTAGCAATTTTTCTACGTTCACATATATCATTGTTAGCCATGAGTCACGACCAAACCATTTTACATGGCATTTTCTTGCGCCCAAGGTTGATTACTTTCTTTTCGTAGATTAGAATAATTTATAATATCACTTTTTTTTTTTTTTAAATCGATGGATTATTATTAACTATATATTTTAAATGTGTGCAGTTGAATTCATTGATGGAAGAAGATCTAGGCGAAACCTCACCATCAGTTGTACCAGTATTGCCATTCCCACCACAGCCACACTCTAATTTGGGTTGCAATATTCTTGGAGGGTTTCCAGTTTCGACTTTTCCGGCAGCCCTACCTGTCACTGGTGAAAGCTCACCAATACAAAGTAAGCTGATATCATCAGGATTAAACATGAAGTCGTTACAAGACATGCAGCAGAGCCAGACAAAAGTCTCACAAACAACTACTAAGCCCATCCGTCCGATCCCACTTCATCCTCCGGTTGTCCCTCCATCTTCTAAACTGGCCGGTTTTAACTTGAAGAATAAGAACTCATCGTCACCCACTAGAGACCCACTGCCATTGTCTCTGAAGCTCTCTACGACTCCATCCCAGGAGCAATCGCCCACGACGACGTCGCATTCGTCTACGTTTCAAGCCATGTCTAGTGGCTCTGATAGTATCATTAGCGTTGCTTAAATTAATTATTGAACAATTTGAACTCCATGTATGTCCTACTTGTTTATTATATATATACGGCCGGCTAATGCAGCATGGTGGGAAATGGAAATGAATTATTTGGTGGCCCGAGATTAGATCGATCAGGGAGATAATTAGGGGCAAAAGGGATTACGGATTGGGCTACACATCAGTTTTTTACTTTATTTTCTTGGATTCATTTGATCTGATGATAAAAAATTAAAAGAAGTGTGTCCAAAGTAAAAAGATGTGTGTGGATACTGATAGCACTTTATGTAGCTTGGTAATTAGGTGATTAATTTGCCTATTTTTTACAGGATGGTTGGGTTTAATTTATATAGAGTTAGAACAAGATATGTGATGTCAATTTCAGTATTCTCGCTATGGTGGGGATTCTTGTGGTTGATTTTTGTCTGGTTCCTTTTGGGCAATTGCGGGGCTAGAAAATTTTCACCGGTTGGGTTAGTTTAAAGATTTAAATCATTATAAACAAAGAAACTTGATACTATATTTTTTTTTAGGGTTCTTTAGATATAGACTTTTGCAACTCTTATTTCCTATATAAAAACCCTTCTAATAATAAACATCCAAATAAAACCTAAATTTAAAAATGATTGCCATGTAGGAAAGTAATTGACCTATTAATACAAAATATTTACAACTTGTACCACAATATTCAAAATAAATCAATAAATATTATTACTCACCTTAATTACAATGAATAAATAATTTATTACTTATTATTACCCCTAACACACACATATATATACATATATACGTTCAAATGTATATAGTACTACCATAAGCTCAATATATATATATATATATATAGTTTACCTATATATATAGTACTACTATACGTTCAAATATATATATATATATATATATATGTATGTATGTATGTATGTATGTATGTATATGCACAGTACTATATATATGATCAAACATATTATACTAATTAATCTACCTATATGTAAATTTATGATGAGCAAATAACATATATTTTGTAGATATCATCACATATATTGGGCACATTTTATTATTATGTGTACAAAAGAATAGGTAAAATAGTATTGAATAAAATAATAACATTTTTTGTCACATCCCCGCCCGGGGCGGACCACTTCTCAGGCCCGCTCCACCACCGTAGCACGATATTGTCCGCTTTGGGCCCCGACTACGCCCTCACGGTTTTGTTTCTGGGAACTCACACGAGAACTTCCCAGTGGGTCACCCATCATAGGATTGACCTCGTGCGCTACTCGCTTAACTTCGGAGTTCTGATGGAACTCGAAGCTGGTGAGCTCCCAAAAGGCCTCGTGCTAGGTTCGGGATGAGAATATACATATAAGGATCACTCTCCTAGGCGATGTGGGATCTTACAATCCACCCCCCTTAAGGGGCCCGACGACCTCGTTGGCACACCATGACTAGGGTTAGGCTCTGATACCAATTTGTCACATCCCGGGCTTGACTCCGCCGTAGTACAATATTGTCTGTTTTGGGCCCCGACCATGCCCTCACGGTCTTGTTTCTGTGAACTCACATAAGAACTTCTTAGTGGGTCACCCATCATGGGATTGCTCTTATGCGAACTCGCTTAACTTCGAAGTTCCGATTGAACCCGAAGCCAATGAGCTTTCAAAAGGCCTCGTGCTAGGTAGAGATGAGAATATACATATAAGGTTTACAGGATCCACTCCTCTGGACGATGTGGGATGTTACAATCCACCCCCCTCAGGGGCCCAACGTCTTCGTCGGCACACTTATGGCCAGGGATTGGCTTTGATACCAAATTGTCACATCCCGACCCGGGGCTGACCACTTCCCGGGCTCGCTCTACCACCATAGCACGATATTGTCCGCTTTGGGCCCCGACTACGCCCTCATAGTTTTGTTTCTGGGAACTTACATGAGAACTTCCCAGTGGGTCACCTATCATGGGATTGCTCTCGCGTGATATGACAATTTGGTATCAGAGCCAATCCCTGGCCGGAAGTATACCGACGAGGACGTCGAGCCCATGAGGGGGGTGGATTGTAACATCCCACATCACCCAGGAGAGTGGATCATGTAAACCTTATATGTATATTCTCATATCTAGCATGGGGCATTTTGGGAACTCATTGGCTTCAGGTTTCATCTGAGCTTCGAAGTTAAGCGAGTTCGCACGAGAGCAATCCCATGATGGGTGACCCACTAGGAAGTTCTCGTGTGAGTTCCTAGAAACAAAACCGTGAGGGTGTGGTCGAGGCCAAAAGCGGACAATATCGTGCTACGGCGGAGTCAAGCCCGGGATGTGGTGGATCCCGGGCTGGGATATGACATTTTTTTTATGTAGGTACATTATTTTGCATACATTGGGTTTGCTTTATTATGTAGATAAAGTATTTTGTATGTGTTTTACATATAATGGGGAAATTATTTTGTTTTTTTAAGCAATCTAACATTTTAAAATTCGAATAATAGGTGCACTAAATCAAATAACATTTTTTGTAGGTAAATTATTTTGCATGAATTTTTACGTATACCAAGCATGTTTTTTTTGTTTTGTTTTTTTGTTATATATATGTGTGTGAAATAATTTACCTACATTTATATGTAAAATATAATTTGTTGACTTAACTAAGCATGTATTATTACATATATTAGGCATGTTTTGTTGTTATTATATATTAGGCAATAAATTTATTATTTATTATTTTCGTAAAATCATTAATTCTCTCTGACAATCTATATGGAACTAATTGTGTACATCAATGTCACATCTCGGCCTGGGCCCCCATCAAATCCTGGGCTCGACTCCTCTGTAGCACGATATTGTCCGCTTTGGGCCCCGACCACATTCTCAAGGTTTTGTTTCTGGGAATTCACACGAGAACTTCCCAGTGGGTCACCCATCCTGGGATTGCTCTCGCGTGAACTCGCTTAACTTCGGAGTTCCAATTGAACCCGAAGCCAATGAGCTCCCAAAAGGCCTCGTGCTAGGTAGAGATGAGAATATAATATAAGGCTTACATGATCCTCAACCCTGGGCGATGTGGGATCTTACATCAAACATTCAAATATGGGTGTTTTGGGCATCGAAATTTTTTAAATGTGTAAAGTCAAATATAATTAATGAATTTGCTGATGTGGAATCTAGTTAATCGGTTTTGTTTAAGTAAAAAACTTATGACGGGTTTTATGTGAAGAAAATTAAATTTCAGGGGCTAAAGTCATATTCAGTATCAGCTAACTTAAGAAAATTTTCACAAAGTGAGCCAAGAACTATCGTTATTCAAAAAAATTCAAACTTGTACATGTACAAGAACCAATGATTTGTAAATTGTATTATATAATTAAACCAAGAGAATTCAAATCAATAACTAAATATATGATGGACTACATTTCAGAATTAATAAAAATTACATATAAAATTTTATTTTCTACCAAAAACTACCTGACCTTAGCTACAGCCCAGGGTAACCCTTAATGTGGCTCTGCTGGTGCTTTTGGGTTCGAATGATAAAAAGCAGCAGGTGCGCACTGTTCTTTGGACTTGGATTCTCTGCCCTCCCAATTCGGTGCCCTCCCCGTGCCCTCCTGTTTGTGTGGTCACGGTTAAGCCACGTCAATATTTTATATTACTATTTTTTTTTGTCTTATTATTTTTATAAAAAACAATATAAAATGTTAGCATGGATTAACCGTGACCACACAAAACAGGAGGGCACGGGGAGGGTACCGAAATGGGAGGGCAGAGAATCCAAGTCCCTGTTCTTTGGTCCTCTGACTGGGATTGCAGGATCCTTTGCAACTTGGAAATTTCAACTTGCTAGCAAAAGAATATCAGAGTATTCGATCTGTTTAATTTTGTAATATATATATATATATAAACGTTCTCTGAATAATTAAGAAATGCATGAATAGTGGCTTTGGTGCTTAATCTTTACCGTTTATATTTGACAAAAAAAAAACCATATCTACCAATTTTTTGTCACCAAATGAGTAATTTGTAATATATAATTTGTTTGGTTTAATTTTCTTCTTTTTATTTAAAAATTAGGTCTAGAAATCGTTTTTGTTCAATCATTCATTTAAAACTGAATCGATGAACTAGTGCGCATAACAAATATTAAAATCAAGGTTCGAATGATGAGTGATTTCCTTGCAATTTCTTGTGTGATTATAGATGATTAGTATACTATTAAGGATGATCTCTCAAATCAATCAAGTAATCCACTTGGCAAAACACACAGCGATAAATATTTGATATTGAAAGAAAGTTGGTTGCCAAGAAAACAATTCCTTCACTTTGCAGGCAATATGCATTTCATCACACCGGTTGATACAATACGTTTAATCTTTCAAATATGTCAAATTTGAAAGTGTGGTCACTAAATGAAATCTTGGTCATGTTAAAACCTTAAAACGGAAAACATAGCTTCACTGCATCAATACTTAAAAGAATAATACTTATATTCTTTATTGGGGATGAGTTAAATAATTTACCTTAGAAATTTCATCATCTAAATCATTCAATTTCTCGATCATCATATCTATAATTGTATCCGATTTTCTGTAGGAATAATTTTCAAATCATGATTAAGAGATCGAATAGTTCAAATGATGAAATTTCTGCTATAAAACTAAATTATTTGTAAGTAAAAAAATGAGTTCATCCTAAAAAAGAATAAGTACTTTATTCTTTAAATATTGATTCGGGTAAGGTGGGAACCAATCAAAAAGTGAGACACGAGTAAAAGTGGGAACCAATCAAGGAGTGAGGTTTTATACAATCACCATGCTGCTCTTTAATAAATCTATCATATATAAAGCCGGAAGGCTCTTTTAACGTCACGGCTTCAACAAAAAAATATTAGGATGAAATTACCCCTCAGCCAAAAAAATTCAAAAGCAATCCAATATAATATATCAAATCATGCAAGGGTAATTTGGTAATTTGGTCATCATAAAATAAAATATAAATATAAATGGGGAGAGAGAAAAGAATAAAAAAATGAAAGGGAAGAGAAAAAATAATAAACAAATGACAAAGTTGATGGTACCCATGTGATG